AAAAAACTTGAGCTAACCAGAGAATAAAGGTCAAATTAAATAGAAAAGTGGATAAAATATTGCATGAAGAACAGCTATTTAAAGTGAATGCCTTGAGTTATACCTCTGAGCTAACATTTAAGTTTATCTTACTATCAAATCCCAGATACTGCATAAATATTAGAGAGTTTTGAAATAATTCAAATTTGAGAAAGTAAAGAATTTTAGAAAAAGCATCAAATTATAATTACTGTTAAAATAATAAATATATTATGCTTTGTTGTTCACAAAAAAGAACAGCTGGGCATTTGAAGAGAATTATCAAACTGTCCCATAACTAAGAACACTGCCAAGGGTACACTATAGGGAATAACTATTATTGCAGTTACATGGAAGGTAAACGAGGACAATAAACAACCAAATCAAACAATCAACAAGAAATAAGGCAGCAAATCTGATTGTTCTGTCAGGACTTATACTTTCTACATCGAAATAAGTACTTTTCAACAAGTGATTTACTAATAAGAATATCTATACAAGACAGCATCAAGGTTTGTTTATATGGTGTGAGGGAAAAAATGCAGTCAGATCAACAAATGCTCATAAAATAATAATTCTGCATATTGTTGCAGTCATAAAAATAAAGAATTTAGATAAAAGATAGTATGAAAACATTATAAAAGTTCCAAAATTAGAATCAATGCTTAGATAATCTATCTGAATGAAGGTGTAACCTAAAGTGATTACAGTATTTTATCACAAAGCATAATGGAATTTGATAGTTAAGTTTGAGAATTGAAGAGAGAATTTACATAGGTAAGTTGAAAAATAAGTTTCCCCTGTCGACTGTGGTCAGAGTTGTGTATGAAAGTCAAAAAATAGAATGAGACATTAAAGATATGACATACCTTTATTTTTTCACATAGATACCAAGTACATTGAGACATTTGTCATATCACTTGATAAGCTTCAAAAAGCCCTCCAGGAAAAAATCAGGGCTTTGCATATGGAAGAAGCGTTGAACGGCTTGTTTCACTTCAGTACTGCTTCCAAAGCGCCTTCCTCCGAGATTTTTCTTCAAAGCCGGAAACAGATGGAAGTCGCTTGGTGCAAGATCAGGACTGTATGGCGGATGGTGTAGGCACTCCCAACCAAGAATTGCAATATGGCTTTGCGTTGCCGTCGCCGAATGTGGTCTGGCTTGTCATCCAACAGCAGAACACCAGATATGAGAAGGCCAGGCCGCTTTTTCCGAATCGCCTCTTTCAATTTCGACAGGATGTCACAGTAGCGCATGGCATTGATGGTTCCAACCTCCAAAAAGTCCAGCAACAAAACTCCTTGGGCGTCCCAGAAAACTGTGAGGAGCACTTTACCTGCAGAGGGAGTTGTCTTGAACTTCTTTCGGACAGGTGATGACGGATGTTTCCACTCCATAGATGCGGCCTTCGATTCTGACGTGAAATGGTGGACCCACGTTTCATCCCCCGTCACAATCCGAAACAGAAAGTCATTGCCATCTTCATGGTAACGCACGAGATGTTCCAGGCTGACCCTCATGCGTTGTTCCTTGTGTGTCGAGGTCAATTGTCGGGGCACCCATCGTGCTGACACTTTTCTGTATCGAAGAATGTTGTGGATGATGTTTTGAGCTCGCTCATGTGAGATTCCAAGTTCTTCCGCTACTTCATCGATGGTGATATGCCGGTTCGTTCTAATCATGTCATCCACCTTCCTGACATTTGCATCTGTAGTGGCCATGCGCGTCCGTCCAGCTCTCTGTATGTCCTCCACTTGCTGACGTCCATCACTGAATGTGCGACACCATCTCCGCACCATTTGCTTCAACATCACACCTAGCCCATAGACTTCCACGAGGCGGTTATGAGTTTCTGTTCCTGATACTCCCCGAGCCCATTCATAGCAGATAACTGCTCTCACTTCCTCCTTTGACCATGAATTCAAAACGCACCTTCTCTCCATACCTACCGGGGCTCAAATGAGAAGCTGGTCTCCGCTTTGAGGAGGCACTGCAACAGCACCATCTGCTTGATTTGCAGCGACCTCTACCCAATGGTGTATCGGTGACTTGCGTGTTTTCCTGCTGTGTCGCCTTTCGCCCATAGCCGTTCAACGCTTCTTCCATATGCAAAGCCCTGATTTTTTCCTGGAGGGCTTTTTGAAGTTTATCAAGCGATATGACAAATGTCTCAATGTACTTGGTACCTATGTGGAAAAATAAAGGTATGTCATATCTTTAATGTCTCATTCTATTTTTTGACTTTCATACACAACTCTGACCACAGTCGACAGGGGAAACTTATTTGGTACTTACGTATTAACGCAACCAGGCCAAAATTCGCATAAATTGCCAAATTTGGCGACCCTACTTACGACAACCCTACGTGTTATACGTAATTTTGTAAAAATAGCATGTGGAGATTCACAAAATTTTCCTGCAAATTTTTGTAATTTATTAGCAATTAAACCTTTCTGGTTTTGAATTTGAATAAGTTGCAGAATTATTTTTTCGGTGGAAATCTTTTCACTATTGCTTTTAGCACTGATTGAAAACCGTATTCGTCATAACCATGTACACGTCGACTTATTTTTACTTAGAAAAACATCCCAGAATTGCATAAAAATGGCATTGCGCACACTCTTGACTTTATCCATGTACACTGCTATTTTCTCATAAATTACAAAAATTTGCACGAAAATGCAGGAAAATTTTGTGAATCTCCACATGCAAAATAGCAGTGCACACGGATAAAATCAAGAGTGTGCGCAATGCCATTTTTGTGCAATTCTGGGATGATTTTTCAAGTAAAAATAAGTTGACGTGTACATGGTTATGGCGAATACGGTTTTCAATCAGTGCTAAAAGCAATAGCGAAAAGATTTCCGCCGGAAAAATAATTCTGCAACTTGTTCAAATTCGAAACCGGAAGGGTTTAATTGCTATTTTATATTTTAAAACAAAATAATATAAAAAACTGTATTAAAAATTATCTGTAATTAATAAGTGTATATTTTCTTTCTATCCATACTTTTTTACTCAAACTTAGAAATCGCGCCAACCTGGTTGCGATAAAACGTAAGTACCACTTATTTTTCAACTTACCCTCGTAGTAAATACATATACAGCAGGCAATAAAGATTAAATCAAGCTTTAGCACTATGATGAAAGGAGACGCTTTTATTTCTTATACATTTTATCTGATTAATATATGTTAATAATTAATTCAACAGAATTCACCCAAGAGCTTTATAAATAGTGTTAAAATGTTTAAAATATTCAGTTTACATCTGCTGAAAGCTGCTTACATCTGCTCAGTTTACATCTGAAACCATTACATTTGGTCAACTCAAAACCTTAATTTAACCAATACAAATAATTACACATTATCAGTTTTTTAAAAACAAAAAATGTTATTCTCAATATTTAATGCATTCATTACAAGCTAGCAGATTACATATTTTGTCATGGCAAACCATTTGATGAAGCTTTGCCTTAAGATTTATATCTCAAACTGAAACACTTACTGCAAGACACAAGTTCATACTCATGTTATACTTGGCAGAAGGAGGGAAAATAACACACAGGCTATTCTGCCACAGGAAATAAAATGCAGAAAGAAACATTAGTATCTAATGACCTGCATGCTCAGTAAATGGTGAATGTGTATAATTGTTAGAGTAATATTACTTTATATACAAATAAAAAATAATTAATATAATGTATATCCTCTAAGTGCTAAATGCTTTTCAGGCTATAAACAAATAAGCTATCAAAGTCAACTCAATTTTTATTATTCTAATATTTACACTACCTAAAAATAATTTAGATATTGACTTTGATGACAGATATTGGAAAAAATTAAATTACACAGATGTATTTGACAGTTTTTCTTTCATCTACTATAAATATTTAACATGTGCTCTATTCAGGTAGCCTGCTATATATATTAAAAGATTTTATCATATCTTGGATAATTTGAATGAATATCTCAAGACACACTTAGGCAAGGATAACTTCTGATACATATAGCAAAGATATACTAAATTATTTTATATAATTTACACCAAGCTGGTAATCTCCAGAGAATTAAATAAAACAACAATATCATGCTATTACTCCAAATAATTTTCTCATGAGTTAATTTCTACTATGATCGGCAGAACATCATTTGGCAGATTGATTAAAAAGGCTGACATATAAGAAACAGGAAATCAAAATCCAGGTTTATCTTTCAATGAATCCAATCCTATCAGGTCAATAATTTTCGCTATTTAAAAAAAAAAAAAAAAAAAAAAAAAAACTCGTACGAATCAAACACATACACAAAATACCAATTCAACAATTACATTTCATTTACCTTCATGAAATAACCTGGGAATAAAGAAATGTACCTGTATTTTAAATACATATATACAGCAGTAATATCAGCTGGAAAATAATTTTGTCATACCAATTATATTAAATTCTTTCTTATATGTTAACTAACCCGTAAGTAAAACAGAAACTATTAAGAAAATTGTAAAGGTTATAAAACTTCTTAAACGTGATCATACAATAAATTAATAAATAAGTTGAATTTTCCTCTTTTATTACATTCCATAATTTTTATGCAACCTTTTTAATTCAGACAAACATAAATAAAATATAATTTTTCATTATTAATAAAATTAAAAAAGTACTTGCATTATTATACTTTTATCCTGAAAAAGAAAACTAATATTTTCTAACATTTACTAAGATGGGAAATGTTTCAAAATACGAGAAAATAATTTATCTCCGTATCATTTCCATAAAAAAGTGAGTTTTCCTGCTCAAGGGAACATTTTAAGCCTAAGCTTATCAGTAAACTTTATTTTATTGATAGGGATTGCGTAATTTGTTGGGAAAACACATAATTTGCTTTCATATGAGCATGCACTTTATTAATTAAAAGCAGTTCTGAAGGAGAAGTACAGTTATTTAATACAAACGAAAATTATTTATAGCCATCCGCCTATACCTGAGTAATGTGCATAACAGGTTGTAGACACATCCATGTTGACCAACAAACAACGTGATTCGTACATCAACATTCCCAGAATGCAACATCAAACACCTGGTTTAAATTAAATTCGCTTCACCGCACTATTGTTGAACAAAATTTATAAAGCGTTTCATATTGAATGCCTTTTAAAACTAAAAAGTGCCTCTAAAATGAGTATAGATAGTAACACAAATTAAACCAAATTGCTAATTACTGAGCTTCGTAAATTGTGACCCGTAGACTAATGAAAATTTCAGGTTCAAATTCCGACATTTAAAATGGAATAAATCGTTTAGGCTAATTAAAAACATGAATTCGATCAATTTGAAATTAGTCTTAAAAAAAGACATCAGAACAGTATGAAATCAGGAGGCTTTGTTTACTAGACTATGCAGAGAGGGAATAATCGTTAAACAATCAAGAAAAGCAGGCACCACAAAAAAGTGCTTAGCGACTCAAGGAAAGGAAACACTACAAAAATTTTGCATTCCTGCCTTTGGCATGGTAAGGTGCAGTTAAAAATAAACCGAGAGAGAAGAAATTGAAAAAAAAAAAAAGAAAGAAAGAAATGGTGTTATACTTGTTATCTATATGAAAAGCATTAAAATTTCCTAAGTGCTTCTGAAAGTTTCTAAAAGTTCTAATGTCCCTGACACTTGTTAGAAATGCACTCTACTTTAACTCCGTGAAATCTTTTAACGACTGGCATTGCAAATTTCGTGAACTGGGAGTTTACTTAAGCAATAGGTCGGCTAGTATTTGAGAAAAGAAGAAGACAAGGTTCCGAAGGATCAATCATACAGAGATGATCAGATTGTAACATAACCGAGGATTTCATGTAATGGTGAGAACTCCTGATGCGATACACATCATATGGTCTGACATAATAACAGTCCTAGTAGTTAAAACTTTGCCTCTAGCTAAAGGTCTCAAAAATTATTTTCTTGAAAAATCGCTTTGATCCTAAGAAAGTAAATTTTCAAGAGTTTCAGTTTAAGGACTGTATGAAACATCCAATTTCTTATGAAGATAGTACTCCTGTAATAATGCTCAAATTTACCACCCTTCCAAAACTTTTCCAGCTGGGATTGCAAAGATAACAACTAATCTTTTGAAGCCTACTTTCCCAAACTAACATTTCAATATATTTCACTTTTGAGAGAACACGAAAGGGCAATTTTGAGCCCCTTAGTTGTCAGTACTACTTAGTAAATGCAAATGTCATTGCATAAGCAGCAACAAAGGTCATCGGACAGTGACTCCAGTCAATTCTTCCCGAATGCTGAAGAGTGGGGTGCCGATTTTTCGGTTAAATCCGTCTTTTTTAGAACCTGTTGTAAGGATCTTAAGTTTTACTAACGTTTATTTTATTTTAAATCTTTACTATCACTTCTTATTTTCTACTTCCGAACAGAATTAAAAGCTTTAACTTATTTATGCAAATTTGTCTTGCGAACGCCAAGTACTTAAGTTGTGGCTTTTGCCAAGCAAGAGAGAGGAAGGAGTGATTAGGAGCGGGCCGCTTGCCATTGCAGTTTTACTCGGTTGCTGGTTGCCTTCAAGGCCAGAGGTTTAATCCTCTTGATAATTTTAAACGTATCGTAGTGTTAACAGTTCTCTGTACTACATACGACCTTTCTGTTAGTATACGGCCAATCTTCAAGTGGACACTTGTTTATTAATCCAAAGTTAGTTTAGTTAGAATTTAGTTAATATTTTTATATTCTTACGTCAGACAAGTGGTTGGTCTCTGTATTCCGAAGTCCGGAAATCATTGTAAAGAGAGAAAAATAAAAGGTTTCGTATATCCTTCCTGTGTATCTTGTCTACTTCCCACATTTATTGAACATAGCTTTAGTAAGCTCCCTGCTCCGAGTCAGGTCATTTAATGCTCCCAAAGCAAGTAAGGAGGAGGACTGAACCTGATAGTGGCGCCCGACGAAGAAGAATAACCATGGCCGAGTTTCAAGGAACACCTGTGCTGCCTGCAGAAGCGGTTCAGAATCCAGAAATGCCAGCTGCCGCCCTGGAAGGATTTGGTTACATCGTCCAGACGATTGCGCGCATCGATGAAACCAGAAGCAACATTTAATGGAAACTCACCAGTAACCAGTTTTTTGGAAAAATTGGAGGACCACTTCATGATGTATCCCGTGCATGAGTTCCAGAAAGTCACCTTAGCTATCCAGCGCTTTGAGGGGCCAAGCGCTTAATTGGTTCAAATGTATAGGCAGAAGTCCTCTTGGGTCAAGCAGGAAGTCCCACCTATACTTACGAAAATTTCAAGACTGCCCTTAGTAAAAGCCTTCCCTGTCGTAAGGGGTCGTGCCAAATTAGAAACGGAACTTTTCAGCATATACCAGAAACGAATCGAAAATCTCTCAAGCTTTATTTTAAGAAAAATTCACGTCTTTCAAACTCTTGTATGGAAACCGTCCGGATCCTGAGATAATTCAAGTGATTTTGGCCGAGGTTACTTCCCCAAGTACAAGACTTTATTGAATTAAGGAATCCGACTACACTGGAAAAGTTATTTGAGCTAGCAATCCAGTTTGAAAGTAGAAGAACGGCGGACATTGAAAGAAGACGCCATGTATGAGCAACGAAGCCAATTTGGTGCGCCAAGACCACAGCAAAGTCAAGAACAAGGCTACGGAAGCAAAGCGAATCAGTGGGCAAGGAAACCCGAGTATCCAAAACCAACCGGCGAACGTCGACAGTTCAATAGTAAGCCAGAAAAAAGTCAGAAGGCCAGCGGAAAAAGAAGGAAGGCATGGAAAGGAAGTAACAAAGTATTCGAACACCGGTACCCCCATTCAGAAAATTTACTTTTCCGTTGAGAAACAAAATTGTCTCCAGAGTCTATCTTGGTTCGATAGACAAAAAAAAAAAAAAAGGATGGCTCATGTCCAAAATTGGCTAGGTGCATGAAACAAAATACAACATGACCTATCTGGGTGAGATGGGAAACAAAATGGCTGCTCACGTAATCCATTATTGCGCTCATAGAAAACGCAAAGTGTGGCTGCGGCTCGTCTCGGTTCGCGAAGAGTGAAAACCCAAAACGGTCTGCAGTGTCTATCTTTGTTGGATGAGAAAACAAAAGGATGGCTCATGTCCAGTTTATTTAGGTGTGGGAAAACATATAACGTGACCTATCTGGATGAGATGTCTCCAGCGATCCAGTATAGACTTTTTCCCCATCTGCAATAGGTGACATCTATAAACAATTTCCATTGAAATCTCCTCGAAATATAAGAAACAGCTAGCTCGTGAAATTGTAAAGGTATTCCCAAAAAATTCCACTTCTTGAAGAAGGAAAAACACCCTAGCTGCAGATGAGGTAGAGAGAGAAAAAGCATGTTGCACCATGGAGAGCCCGCACGGTTCTGAACAGAAAACGTGGAATGCTTTTATAGAAAAGAGTTGAAAGTGAAAGTAAAAGCCGATTGGAAATTTTTTTTCAATTGGTTGCCGACTGGGAAAAAATTTTCAGAGCTCAGAAAAAAATTCTGAGATGTAAAAAAAAAAAAAAAAAAAAAAAAAAAATTTTGTTAATTTTTATCATGTCTTCTAGAGATGATAAAAATTAACCCTACCCCCCCACCCCCCTTTTGTGTGGGAATGTTGTCTCACTGTTTCTAAAAATAGACCATGACTCATTCTAGGAATTATATGTTTTAAAAAGGATGAGTTTAAAGTTTATAAGATAAGATAAGTTTTTAAAAAGGATATGTTTTAAAAAGTCTTTGGGTTTCTCCATTCCAAAGTAAACAAAGTGAAGACATCAAATTAATAGAAAAAAAAGGAAGAGTTTTTTTTTTTTTTTTTTTTTTTTTATAGCTCTGGAAATATTTTTTCCAATTCAACAGCCAAGAAATATTTCCAGCCAATACAATTTCATTTTTACTTTCACTTTCAATTCATTTCTTATATCTATAAGAACATTTCATGTTTCTGTTCAGATCAGTGTGGGTTGTTCAAGATGCAGCAACTCTACTCCATCCCACAACCAGGAAAAAAAGATGTTCTTTCTTTCATGAGATGTTCTTTTGGCTTTCGAAAACAATGATGACATGATGATTGTAATACATTTCGGTTCTCATGTCCCATGCTTGAACTCAGAATTATTTCCAGAACTCTGAGAATTTTTCCTAGTCAGCTCGATAACCCAACTTTCGTATATTTATTTTTTAAGCCACTCGAGTTTCGACTTCCCATCCGTGTGTGCTGTGCATTCAACCTGGAGACACATTCCCTGAGCTCTAAGAAAATGTTTCCCAGCCCACTCAATCGCTGAAATGGATTAAAAATAAATTCTTTCATACATTTTTAAAGCTCAAGAGTGTTAGGTGTCATGGAAAGAGCCTTTTTTTTCCCCTGAGCTCTAAGAAAATGTTTCCCAGCAGACTCAATCGCTGAAATGGATTAAAAATAAATTCTTTCATACATTTTTAAACCTCAAGAGTGTTAGCTGTCATGGAAAGAGCCTTTTTTTTCCTGAGCTCTAAGAAAATGTTTCCCAGCAGACTCAATCGCTGAAATGGATTAAAAATAAATTCTTTCATACATTTTTAAAGCTCAAGAGTGTTAGCTGTCATGGAAAGAGCCTTTTTTTTCCCTGAGCTCTAAGAAAATGTTTCCCAGCAGACTCAATCGCTGAAATGGATTAAAAATAAATTCTTTCATACATTTTTTAAACCTCAAGAGTGTTAGCTGTCATGGAAAGAGCCTTTTTTTTTTTTTCCCTGAGCTCTAAAAAATGTTTCCCAGCACTCAATCGCTGAAATGGATTAAAATAAATTCTTTCATACATTTTTTAAAACCTCAAGAGTGTTAGCTGTCATGGAAAGAGCCTTTTTTTTTTCCCTGAGCTCTAAGAAAATGTTTCCCAGCAGACTCAATCGCTGAAATGGATTAAAAATAAATTCTTTCATACATTTTTAAAGCTCAAGAGTGTTAGCTGTCATGGAAAGAGCCTTTTTTTCCCCTGAGCTCTAAGAAAATGTTTCCCAGCTCTCAATCGCTGAAATGGATTAAAAATAAATTTTTTCATACATTTTTAAAGCTCAAGCGTGTTAGCTGTCATGGAAAGAGCCTTTTTTTCCCTGAGCTCTAAGAAAATGTTTCCC